ATGATGAGGAACAGCCCCCACAGCCCGCCCCACCACCCCAACCCGGGCAACCAGAGGCCCCACATACCGCCCGTCGCCCCCGTCTCCTCCTCGGCCCTCAACTTCGGCCACCCGCTCTCGGTCGCCGTCTCCTCGGGCGCCCTGCCCCCCACCTTCCCCGCTCACTTCCCACCCCCGCCCATGGCGGCCACCAAGTCGGACAGCGTGCACAGCGGGGGCGAGAAGAGCAGCGAGTTCGGGTCCGAGGAGGACGAGGAGGAGGACGAGAGCTGCTCGGACAGCGCGCTCAACCTGAGCAGGCGGGGGGCGGAGGGTAGGGGGGGGCACGAGGGGCAGAGGCAGCACCGGCCCTGCCCCCCCTGCAGGCGGCCCCGCTGGGCAGGCCGCCGGGGATCCCGGGCAGGAAGCCCCACCACTCGCCCGGGAAGAGGCCGGGGGCAGGGCAGTGGGGCGCCTCCGGCAATATACCCCCGAACCTGGGCACCCCGTTCATCAACCCGACCACGGGGAAGAAGAGGGTGCAGTGCAACGTGTGCCTGAAGACGTTCTGCGACAAGGGCGCGTTGAAGATCCACTTCAGCGCGGTCCACCTGCGCGAGATGCACCAGTGCACGGTGAAGGGGTGCAGCATGATGTTCAGCTCGAGGAGGTCGAGGAACAGGCACAGCGCGAACCCGAACCCGAAGCTGCACTCGCCCCACCTCAGGCGCAAGATCTCGCCCCACGACGGCCGCTCCTCCATGGCCCACGCCCTCGTCCTCCCGCCCCAGGTCGCTCTCCCCGTCCCAGCGACCGGCCTCAACCACCTCCCCTTCGGCTCCTTCCCCCTGCTCACCCCGCCGCCGGACCTCCGCTCGCCTGCCTCCCTCTGCGGCCTCGACTTCAAGCACCTCGACCTGCAGGGCCCGCAGCCGGCCGGGGGAAGGCCGCCCCCGTACGACGACGCCTCCTCGTCCTCCCTCGTCCAGCAGGGGGGGCCAGGGAGGATGAACCAGCAGCAGGGTGTCGCCCCGACCGCGGTCCCCGCTAGGGGAGCGTCGTACTCGAGCAACAACAGCGCGGCCGACGTGGTGTCGCCCTCGACCCAGGCCACCGGCCCCGCCGACGGCGAGGACGAGGAGGAGGACGAGGACGGGGGGATCGTGGTGGTGGCCGAGGACGACGCGAGCAGCCTGCCCCCCTCCTCCTCCTCCAGGCTGCTGCCGCCGGCCCTCCGCGAGGAGGAGGAGGAGGAGGAGGAGGAGCAACCGGCCGACTTCAGCCTGGCCAAGAGACCCAAGTTGTACGACGGCTTCGCCGCGGATCGGGCGATGGCCGGGGACGAGGACGCGGCAAGCAACGCGGACAGCAACGAGGACAACGAGGACCACCCGGCCACCGTCCGAGCCCACCAACAGCAGAGTTACTCGGTGGTGAGCCACCATCGGCGCTCCAACGTGAACAGCGGCACCGCCTCGGCGCACAACAGCAGGGGGGTGAGGAAGAGGAAGTCGCAGCACCCGACCAGGTGCGCGGTCCTAACCGAGATCCACTCCTCGTCCACGGACGGGGACTCGTCGAACGACGAGGAACGCGCGATGGCGACGATCCCCTCCTCGGTGGGCGAGTTCCAGAGCCAGCCGGAGGACATGTCGATGTCGAGACTCGGCGCCGAGGGGAGGAAACCTTCTTCCTCGCCCAACACCAACACCAACAACAACAACAATCCGTCGAACGATCGCGAGTCGTCGAGCTCCTCCCGCTCGCCCGCCTCCCGCAAGCGCGAGAACGACGAGGAGGGGGAGGTGGGGGCGGAGGGGGAGGGGGAGGAAGTGGAGGAGGAGATGGAGGGGGAGGGGGGAGAGGTGGTGGATCTACCTCAGGACGAGCCTCGGGATCTGAGCTCGAGGGCGAGCAGCGTCAAGTCGCCGACGAAGAGGCAGACGAGTCCGGAGCCAAAGACGGGCCAGGAGGCCAACGAGACGAGCAACTCCCTCCTCGTCTCGAGGAACAGCGAGTGCGAGGAGGCGATCAAGCAAGAGAGACAGGCGGAGGAGGAGGAGGAGGAGGAGGAGAAGGAGGGCGAGAGCAAGAGACGACGACGACGACGACGACCACGACCACGGCTACGACGATGATAACAGCGACGACTACGACGACTACGACCACGGCTACGACTAGAGCGTCGTCGAAGAGAGAGAGGGAGGCGGAGGAGAAGGAAAGAGGGAGGGGGGAGGAGGAGGAGGAGGAGGAGGAGGAAGAGGAGGAGGAAGAGGAGGAGGAGGCGATGGAGGATGTGGAGGAGGAGGAGGAGGAGGAGGAGGAGGATGAGGAGGTGAACGCGGCACTGCGCAATCAGGAAGGTGAGCGTCCCGATGATCCCTCCCCGAGCTCGGTCGACAGCCGTCCGACGACAGGCGACGACACGCTCTCCCACGACTCCTCGACCAACACTTTGCGTCAACTCGAGTCCTTGTCGCAGGGTCGCGCGATGCAGCGGCGGTACATCGGGGGGACGATGCAGCGGGCGGGTTCGAGGTGTGGCCGCGGCTCTACCAGCCCCGTCACCATCACCGTCACGACCCACCAGGAGACCACCACCATGGACAATTCCTCACGTGGCTCTCGTTCATCCAGCGCCTCACCCTCCACAGCGGCCACGGATACGGACAATAGCCTTATCACGTACGCCCGTTACGAGAACGGGGGCTTCGTCAGCACCCGGGAGGTGCCCCTCGACAGGGAGAACCCGAGGCGGTGCACCGCGTGCGGCAAAGTGTTTCAAAACCATTTCGGGGTGAAGACCCACTACCAGAACGTGCATCTCAAGCTGATGCACAGGTGCAGCGTGGACGGCTGCAACGCTGCCTTCCCCTCAAAGAGATCTCGCGACAGGCACTCGGCTAACCTCAACCTCCACAGAAAACTCTTGTCCACGTCGTCGGACAGCCCCCCGCCGCCAGCCTACCACCACCCGCCCCCCTCCACCCTCGACGAGGCCCAGATGACAACGACCACGATGACCACGATGACCACGACCACGACCACGAACGCCACCACGCCGCACCTCCTGCACAACGAGTTCCTCGCGAGGTTGTACGCGGACGCGGGGATCGGCTGCGCCCTCGGCGCCTATCCCTTGACGCCCGCCCCCCTGCCGTCCGCCGCGGTCGACCTGGCCGCCAGGATACCACCCCCCCACCCTCTTCTACTGCCGCCTCACTTGGGAGCCACCTTCTCCACGTTCGCCACTCACCTGGCCGGGCTCAACGGCCTCGCCCATCCGCGCTTCAACCACCATCACCATCATCATCATTTCGCCGGGATGACTCGCGACGAGCAAGCAGGAGGAGGAGGAGGAGGGAACAGGCATCGGCTTCCGGCTCGCCGTCCTCCTCCCCGGGTGCCGAGGACCGAGGGAAAGAGGAAGCGAGATGCACGATACCCGGCTGCGAGCGGGTGTTCGCCTCGAGAGCCGTGAGAGACGCGCACTCGAAGGACCCGCAGGCCCACCGCGACCTGTCCTTGCTGTCGACCGGCGGCGGCTCGTGACCGATCCCTTTCCGCGGCTATTATCATCCCCTGCTGTGATGAATCGATATCGAAGTTCTCGACCGTTTCTTCTTCTTCTTCTTCTTGGGATTGTTTCGTCCTTTTCGTTCCGAGAATTTTCGAAATCTTCCGTGGCTTTCTCTCCCGGAGCCAGGTGATTCGAAACGAATCTTGCCAGCGGCGACGTCTATATCCGAACGAGCCAGTTTCTCAAACGGAAGGTGCTTGCAGTCTCTAGTCAATTCGGAAATCCTCGGCCATTTCCGCTGCAAATTTCGACCCGCGCGTGATCGATCGGTTTGGTTGGAGATTGGATCTCGAAAAAAACAAAAAAAGAAAGAGAAAAAGATGGACGAAACAATCCGCGTGGAAAATTTCGAAAAGGGAAGAAAAACTGGTCGAACAGTGGTGGAAGAATCCGTCTATTCGGCGAGTTTCGCTGCTCTCGTTTCTTTCTTTCTTTGTTTTTGTTTCTTTCTTTTCTCTCTCTCTCTCTCTCTCTCTTTTTTTTGAGGCGGCGAACAGAGACGATGGATGAGGGGGAAAAAAAAAAAAAATTGCGCGAGATTGGGATGATTGCGAGAGAGAAAAAAGTGGAAGGATCGAACGCGCCCTCGTTTCGGTCTTCCGGGCTGATTTTATCATCGTTGTGATAAACGTAACGTTTAGTATAAATATGCCACTTATTTAATCAGTAATCAATTACTACCGCTGTATATAATAAACATAGTACCTTTTTTCGATGTATCGCGTTATTAATCAATTTTAAGCTACTTCGAAACGCGAGGAGAGGAGTGGAGAGGAGATGACGACGAATAGTTTTGCGGGATATCGAGATGAAGTAACGAAGCGCGAGACCCGAGTACAGGGATAATAATAATAATAATAATGATGATGATGATGATGATGATGATGATGATGATCAGCCTTTCCAGATGGCGGCCTATTCGCTCGCTATTCGTCCACTGCACGTACGCCATATTGGAATTTATACGATTCTTAATTCCTCCATCGTTGTTGTTGGAAAATTTGTACATATTCGATCGCAACGTTACGGTTCTCACCTCCGTGCATTTCGCAATACGTGTAGGTGAATTGGCTTGGTGATTTAAAAGAAGAAGAAAAATTATTCCTTTCAAGCATATCCGAAAAGACGAGAGAAAGAAAAATTGTCGAGGCAACTGTTCGTCGTGGTTGGCACCGAATCAAACCTCGAATGGCCGTCGTCTCGCGCTATATACATAAACGAGAAAATAGGTAGATTTTATTTATTGTTTCCTAGAGATCCGTACGCGATGCGATCAGCGGCCAGTAGCGGGCACTGCCGCGAACATTTCTTCTTCTTCGTCGAACGATCGTTCGTCGTTTCGATCGTTGGCACGAAAAGAAATGTAAGAAAAAAAGGAGATGAAAGGGGTTTGTCAACGATCCTCGAACGACGATCGATCGATCGATTTTTCTCTTTCGGTTGTACATATATATCTTATTGTATATTCTTGTTTTCGTAGTCTGTGCACGCGTGATGAGGAAAAAAAGAAAGAAAAAAAAAAAAAAAAAAAGAAAAAAATATCGCGCAACACACAGAATCGAAGAATTTGCGTGCGAATCGACGACGACGACGCATGGAAGGAAGCATGGTGGATGGCCGGAAACAGGTTCTTTTTCTACGCGCCCAATTTTTCGTCATGTTTCTCGCGCCAGAGACGTAAAGACAGCGAGTATGAGAGAAATGAAAAGAAAAGAAAAGAAAAAAAAATGGAGATGATGGCGACGAACTCTATTAATTAATTAATTAATTAATTACACACGAAGCGTAAAAAGGGCGAAATTTACAATTGTAATTATGTATAAACGGAATGCTATGATGTATGATATTATAGATCGATTATAAAAAACACTCATCATTATGAAAATAAATACCTATCGAAATCATTCGAGACTGCGTCTTATACGTTACACCCTGACACCTGTTTCCGACACGATTTAATCTGGATCGATAAACATTGGATCAATCGATCCAGTCGATATGTCACAGCAATTATTATATAATTCCTTCGTCTCTGTATCGACAGTTCAGAGTTTGTTGAATCTTCTAACTGCACGTCGTAATCGAATACAAAAATTGTTACTTTGATTCTTGAGCACGATGAGAAATTTTAATAATTCAACTAGAATTTCTTCCAACGTTCCAACGTTCGGTTAAATATTATTCGTAAGCCTCGACAATGGAATTTTACTGCTTGACTGACCCTTTGCTACGCGTGACTCGAGGCAGCTTGCACCCGATCGAAGTGAAAAAGAATATTCGCGTTCGTCGTTAATCATCGTGAAAATCGATCGCAATCGTTGACAAATTATCGAGCGATCCGGGAAAAAAGTTTGGAAGGGGCGATGCTGGTAGGGAGCAGGGGTCGTTAAACTCGAAAAAGCCGCGGGACGGGCCCGCGCAAAGGCGAAGAAAAACGAAAACCCGGCGGAGGACCCCGCCTACGACCTCGAACGCTCGACCTCGTTTTCTGCGAAAGAAATCCTCCTCTGGGACGCCGGCTCGTTTATCAGGGATCTCGCGGGCGTGCACGCGCACGCCTACCAATCCTCGTGCCCGCGTACCAACCGGCGAACAAGAAATAAAGGAACGAGCCAAGTGGAAGGAGAACCGAAAAGGTTGCTCTTCTATCCTCGATTGGCCACCTCGAGCCACGAAAATGAACAACAGGAATATTGTTAGAAGTGTTACACGCTGGGTAGGTATTCTCTTTTTATATTTCCATTTTGAAATCGAGTTTTGAATTGAATAGTGGATTGGTTACGTCGTGATTGTGTATGTCGTTTTACTGCAAGCTTTGGAATTTTGGAAACTTCATAGTATTAGAAATTGAATAATATCATTGGAAGTAGGCACTCTTTCGTTTTTACATTTACATGGAAAGTTTAGAATTCCAAACTTCAAATGTATGGTATTATTGAAATAATTGTAATTGGAGGTTAGAAGCGTCTTGGTTACATTAGGTAAGTATTCCCTTATTTTCTATATTTCCATTTTGAAATCAACTTTTCATTTGGATCATGGATTATGTGCATTGCACGTTTAGAATTCCAAACTTCAAATGTATTACTGAAATCAGAAATTGAATAATGTCATTGGAGGTTAGAAGTGTTCTGGCTATATACTAGGTAGGTATTCTCTCGTTTTTATATTTTCCATTAAATCGACTTTCCAATTTATATTGCAAGTTTTGGAATTCTAAACTTCACATGTATTGACTGAAATCAGAAATTGGAGGTAGGTATTCTCTCATTTTTATATTTACATTGACACATTTTGAAATCAACTTTTCATTTGGATCATGGATTAATGTATGGTATTATTGAAATATAATTGGAGGTTAGAAGTGCTTGGTTACATACTAAGTATTCTCTTATTTTTTATATTTCCATTGAAACATTTTGAAATCAACTTTTCATTTGGATCATGGATTATGTGCATTGCAAGTCTAGAATTCCAAATTCAAATGTATGGTATTATTGAAATATAATTGGAGGTTAGAAATGTCTTGGTTACATAGCAAATAGGTATTCTCTTATTTTAAAATCTACTTTTCATTTGAATCATGGATTATGTGCATTACAAGTTTAGAAACTTCAAATGTATTACTGAAATCAGAAATTGAATAATGTCATTGGAGGTTAGAAATGTTCTGGCTATATACTAGGTAGGTATTCTCTCGTTTTTATATTTTCCATTAAATCGACTTTCCAATTAACGTATTTATATTGCAAGTTTTGGAATTCTAAACTTCACATGTATTGACTGAAATCAGAAATTGGAGGTAGGTATTCTCTCATTTTTATATTTGCATTGACACATTTTGAAATCGACTTTTCATTTGGATCATGGATTAATGTATGGTATTATTGAAATATAATTGGAGGTTATGGAGAAGTGCTTGGTTACATACTAAGTATTCTCTTATTTTTTATATTTCCATTGAAACATTTTGAAATCAACTTTTCATTTGGATCATGGATTATGTGCATTGCAAGTCTAGAATTCCAAACTTCAAATGTATGGTATTATTGAAATATAATTGGAGGTTAGAAATGTCTTGGTTACATAGTAAATAGGTATTCTCTTATTTTGAAATCAACTTTTCATTTGGATCATGGATTATGTGCATTGCAAGTTTAGAATTCCAAACCTCAAATGTATGGTATCGCTAAAATCAAAAATTGAATAATTGAAGGTAGGTATTCTCCCAGGTAGGTTTTTTACATTTCCATTGAAAGATTTTGAGATCAATTTTCGAATCCTATTATTTATTTAACGTGCTTACATCGAGTTTGAAATTCAAATAAACTTCATTGTACACCGAAATCAGAAATTGAATAACGCGATATTGAATTACATATTGCAATCAAGTTATTTGTAAAATTTAGAAAACCTTTGATTATTATTATGCTATTAGACAGATATTTACCAGAAATCAAAGGATGATTACCTTGACGTTCATGACGGAAAAGGAGGGGGGACGCGGTTAATTGCGGGACGTGAAGGGGGGACGATTTCGACGTGGCTGGTTTCGCCTCACGAAACTCATCGCCGGCCTTTAATCGGCCAGACAGATTAGATTAGCACCTTCGATTCCCTTAACGTACGACCTACCTGCTTAATAAGGGGTACACGCGAAATCGAATCCTCTCGGAGAGCGGAGGACGAGCCGCGAAGATGAGACCTGGATTAGAAGCCATTCTGATCACTCTCTCGACATATAAATTTATAAATAAAATTTGTTGTAAAAATTCTTAAATCACGATTGTACAGCTTATACGAATTGCAAAATTCGCCTTTAACACGTTCGTCGACCAGCGTCAGATTTCCAGTTGAGTTCCTCACGGGATAAGAACGATAAGAAGAGCGATAAACGGAATAGTTTCGATACTTTTATTTTACATATTTTAATATTAAAGTTTCCAAAGTCAATCTTGAGTACTTTGGTAGCCTCAACTCAGTTCCATATAATTTCAGATTTAAAATTGTATAAAAATGCAGAGCGATTCGCCAACGAATCATACTTGTCCCTCTTTTCTGTTTCAATTATTCTTAATATGTCGCTATCCTATAATACATTAGTAAATATTCTAGAGGGCACTTCTTACTCGATCGATAACCTTCTCTAAGCATAAA